CTTGAAATACTAAATTTTTTTTCATGACCGTATTGTTTAAGATTGAGATGATTGATTTTAAGGTTTTCTGACGCCGGAATTGCAATTTTTGGTGAGTTTTGAAATAATGATTTTGTTTTTTTTAATATGACGAGCTTTATTTAAACTTTTCTTATTTAAATATTCAACCTTTCAATAATTATTAACTATTATCATTTATTTCGACCATAAAGTAAAAATAGCTCTTTTAAAAGAAAAAATGGGATTGTCTGCAAAAAGACAATTTATTTTTGGGTTCAATTTGTATAGAGCCAGGGCTCTAAACAACCAAAGTAGAGCACACATTCAAATAGTATCGAGAAATGTGGTTTCAATACTGAAAATCTTTGTGATAGCGTTAAAATATATCTTTATTTCTAATCATAAAATATAAAGCATAAAAAATAATGTAGATCAAACAGATATATAAAAACTTGAAAATCTTGAAAATTGACGGTTCAAAATGGGTTACGAGATGCACTATTTTCAAAGCTTTAAATCAATTTTTTTCTCATGTCTATGCATCTTGATGTTGAGATGATCAATTCGAGGATATTGGGTGCGGTTTGTATAGAGCCTAGGCTCTAAACAATCAAATTAGAGCCTAACCCAAATAGTATCGAGAAATGTACTTTCCACATTGGAAATTTTTGTGATAGCCTTAAAATATATTTTCATCTTTATTTATAAAGTTTAGAGCTTCATAAATAGTGTAGATCGACATATCTATGAAAACTTGAAAATTGATGATCAAAAAATGCATTACAAAATACATTATTTCTAAAACTTGAAATCCATTTTTTTCTCAGGTCAATGCATTTTGATGCCTCGAGATGATCAATTTGAGGATATTCGGGCATCAAAACAATCTCTTCTAGTTAAATTTTTGTGGTACGCTCTAATTTGATTGTTTGGAGCTTCGGCTATATATAAATCCTTCTCGCGGATATTTGAGCATAAAAAAAACCTCTTCTAGTTAAATTTTTAAGGTAGGCTATAATTTAATTGTTTAGAGCCTCGTATCTATAGAAACCTTCTCCTTTATTTTTTTTGCACATGGAGGTCGCAATCATTCTCGCTCATTAGATGTCAAATTGGATATTTTTTTAGCTTCAAATCCTATTTTTGATGTTGGAAAATTGATTTTAGATCGATGATAGAGATTTCCTAAAAGTGATTTTGGGACAAGGATTTCAAATGAGGGACTTATAGAAGGGTGCAGTTTGCATACAGACGCATCGATGGGTGTAGAGGTAATGTGCACCTTCAATTTTTATCATGGTATATAATTTTGATGTAAAATGCTTTTAAGATTATCTCAAAATATATTTTTATATCTAATTATAAAATTTTAAATTTAAAAATTGGTTAAAATCAAGTAGATCTATAAACATATGATAATATTGAAAATGGACGGTATAGATAATATGTTGTAAAATACACTATTTATGAGATGATTAACCAAAGAGTTTTTCAATATTAAAACTACATTTTTCCCCTGGATTTTTGAGAGGCATCCTAGTTCTACAGTATAAGGTAGCATCCTTATATAAACTTTTTCCCTTATAGGAACTTCATCCAAAAGACGGAGCTAAAACGGTCTAAATAAAAACTGCCTATTTAATTTATGCGACATGTTAACTCCTTATCGGGATCAACGTTATTGAAGCAGAAAGCAATTAATCATCGTGCATAAAAAATATGCATGACAACGGTGGTTAAAAGCACGTGGATAAGAGCGACAGGTTGTATAAAAGAAGGCGCCAATTCCACTCATCGCCTGCAGATTTGGTGTGCCGTGACTGCAAAAAATGGCAATTCCAGTGAGGAGGTCTCTTTAGAAACTGCCCATGATTTACTGTGCGCCAAATTGATTAGGTCTGTGCATATTTCCGATATTATAGATCAGTAGATTACAGACGAGGAAACATGGCGTTTTCGAAGGTGAAGGTTCTTAGCACTTTTCTTAACTGGAGCCTTCAATCACCCAAACCCCACTGCCTTAGATTTTTCTCCAGTTTCATCCAACCTCAGTTGCAGGTACTCTCTCATTTCTCAATTTTCTAAAGGTAAATAAGGTCTGAAATGTTTAAATCTCTCACTGTTCCTGGCTCATACATTTCCCTTATGTTTAATTCCATGATTGAAGCTGCTTAGGGCTTTCAGGGTTTGTTTGATGTAAGTTTTTCCCTCCCCCCCCTTTTTCTTTGGCGTGGCAGAGAGTTGGATTTATTGGGCTTGGAAACATGGGGTCACGTATGGTGAATAATCTTATCAACGCAGGATATGAAGTCTCTGTTCATGACGTGTAATTTATTCAAACCAATTCAAGTTTGATTGCCGCTTTCAGATTATCGAATTACTCGATATTGAATCATATATTTTATATATACTACGCAATTGACTAATCCTTTTATTTGTGTTATGTGTCACTTGATTGATGAATTATTTCTTCACCACACCTGATGAAATATTGATGATATTTTACTTGATCGATGAAATAGAAATTAATTTCCACAAATAAATGCGTCCTTGAACAAAATTTTAGAAATTAATTTCCACAAAGAAATGCGTCCCTGAACAAAATTTTAGGTAGTAGGTCATGCCATCCAAAGTAAAGAGTTCTATTACCTGTTGCCCCTAGTCAAGAAAAAATTCAAATTTAGGTAGCTGTGCTTATTTATTTGTAAAATGGGATCAACTCTTCCCTCATCAACAGTAATCTTGAAAGCTCCTCAACATCCCACCTCTTCCACTATGACTTTTTTTACTAAATGCAATTGATTTGTGTAAACTAAAGTCCAGACAGTTTTTTTTCCCACTAATCTACGAATTGACACAGAACCTGTGTTGCCCAGACATGCATGCAGTTGTCCGAATCCGATGTGTGTCTAGGTATCCAATACCTCGGCCTACAATGGCAGTACGACAAGACATATTTGTATGGTTATTACTTTATAATAAAATAATGGATGTTAGATCTGTATATGACAAATACTTCAAATGTGTTACCCTTAGATGTGATTGGCACAGCTGTCTTCAGCACAAACTTGGCACATGTCATCTTCGGTTCAAACCACACCCTTGTGCCCCATACTTTAGATTAATAATCTTGCATCTTGAAGGGTCAACACATGATTCTGTAGCAAGAATGAAGTATCTGGGTAATGTAGATTTCAACTGTTTAGGGGTGCTTTTCACTTTGCTGTAAGTTGTGTTCCATCTATTTTATGCTATTTTTCATAGACTTCAATGACATCTTGTTGCAGCATCTTTAAGTTCTATTGCTGGTAGTCTCTGCTATAAAATGCTCATTAATTAGTGGATATCTGTTCCAATTTTCTAGGAATACTTGCTAGAATATCAAAGATGTTTCGTTTGCTTTGACCCTTTTTTTTCTTGAATAGTTGACTTGGATTGCTTAATCTTGAATTAATGCATTAGAAAAGTATGTAGCATTGTATAGTTAATGTCAACATTTGGATTGGGAGATATGAATTTTAGAGTTGGTGGTGCGGTTTCAGCAATTCTGATGCAATAGAGAAATTTTCCAAGAAGGGAATTCATGCTAGAGAAACACCATTCGAAATTGCTGAGTCAAGTGATGTTATAGTGACTATGCTACCTTCCTCATCTAGTGTAAGATCTCATGACCCTTCAAATAGATCGTGCAACAATGGCCGTGTTTGACCATTTTCCTGTATTTTTCTGTACTCATTATGTTAATATGACAAGCTGTGAGTGTTAGCATTGATTTAAGGATCTAGGACTGCTGCTTACCTTTGTGACGGTGCTTCATACTTGGATTTTCTTATCAATGCTACCACGAGGATCTTAGTTAACGATCAAATGTTCCTTATAATTTCTATATAATGGCAAATACCCAGCATGATCACTAAATCTATTGTTTTCATTTGTCAAATCTGTACTTGAAAAAGTTAGCCATGCTCCCTTTCATGCTAAAAGTTTATGAATGTAGCAGAGAACAATTGATTGTCCTAAAATCAAGGATTTTATTTTTCACTTTTGTCAGTAAACTTGATTCTGCAGATCGAAAGGCTTGCAGTTGGAGCTGTGGTTCACCATTGCAATATTTTGTTATTATTTTTTGTGCTATTATACCTTGTTTCTTCCCTGGAGCAATTTAATGTTCTTGATGCCTGTGCAGGTGTTGGATGTATATACCGGACCAAATGGTTTGCTTCATGGTGGAACACTCTTGAGGCCATGGTTACTGATAGATTCTTCGACTATTGATCCACAAACTTCTAGAAGGATTGCTGCAATTATTTCCAAACATACGTTGAAAGAGAAAAAAGGTTTGTAGAAATGAAATTTGAGTTAATTTTCCTTTCATTCTTTTTTTTTCTTTTTTTCTATTTTTCTTTTCCTGACTATAATGGACATGAAACTATTGTACATTCAATTTGGCCATTTTATTACAAGAACATCACAACAATGATAATGTCAAGATTCCATTGATAACACATGTGAAGTGAAAGAGTTCTGCTGCTAATAATAATGAATATTTACTTGTAACTTGAGATGGAATGAGCATATTACCTTCTAAAATTTTGGTTTCTAAAATATATTTTCCCTGTTTCATTCTTTCTCGTGTGTGTATGTGTGTGTGTGCGTGCATGCGTGTGTGTGTGTGGGGTTAGCCGGTTGGGTGGGGATGGTGGTGGTTTGGAGATGTTTGTAAGTCAGCTTGGTTTATACAATAGAGGTTTGAACCCAACCCAAGATCTCTCACTGCAAAGCATTTGTCTCACTATTAAGCGCTTTCATTGGAAATATTGCTTCATATCTGGAAGCAGGTTCATACAACTTAATTAGTTGCCTCTTCAATATTTCCTTATGGGAATTGGAACTTTCTGAGCTTGTTATGAAATGAAATATAATTCGCTACATGGCTACTGCTAACAATATGTACCTTTAAACTGAAAAATAAAAAATAAAAACATTTTATGCCTTTGGGTATTTTACTCAGGCACAGTTCCGGTTAGTGTTGCTCAACTTATTCTTCTGCGGTTTTGACTATTTTAATATTAACCTCATAATTCTTTGTCTCTTTCATGCAGATAAATTAGTGCTCTTCAATTATTTTACATAGGTGTATGCCAGTCTGAATTTGTGGGTCGTCCCCATGTATTGATAAAAGATGTTTTATCTAGGTTCTCTAGATGTCCCCATGATGCTGGATGCTCCTGTCTCTGGAGGAGTTGTTGGTGCAGAAGCCGGAAACCTGACTTTTATGGTATGTTCATTTCATTGAATTTAAGTCAATTGATCTAGTTCTCATTCAGAATCAGCAAAATAGCTTTGTTAATTCCACACAGAAATGTTGAAATAACCCATATCTCTTTGGTCATTGGATGGTTCTAGTCACACATTTTTCCTAGAAAAGGTGGAAAATATAATTATTCGGAGAACTTTGGACCAAATTTCATAAAGGTTTAGATATGATAGCCTTAGACAAAAACAGTTTGGGGTCCCTTGTTTTGTTGATAATTGTTTGAGCTTAAGATATAGTTGCAACTGAATTAATTATTCAGATAATGACCAAGCAGTGCTTTCCCTTTTAATGGATGTATTTATTAATAATAATAATTTTTTTTAAAAAAGGGGCTTTAGTTGTATTGTGACCTATGAGCTTCCTGAAATACAGAAATCTTCTATATATAGGTTGGTGGTCCAGAGGAGGCTTACTTGGCTGCAAAGCCACTGTTTCTTGCAATGGGGAAACATACAATCTATTGCGGTGGAAGTGGTACTGGGTCCGTAAGTTTAGCTTCCTCTCCTTTCAGTGCTTTTCTTGTTTTGCGAAATAGTCCCTACAAAAACAATTCTTGGAGTCAGACTTCTTAATTCAGTGATTGTGGAGTTGTCCTTTCAATTAGATGGGGATGGCATGGTAGTTGATTCTTAGCACTATCTTTAATTCCATTGTAGTGGACAAAATAAAATCACATTCACATGCCTGTTTTGTTCTTTTAGATGCTGTTGTGTATGTGTTCTTGTTCAAACCAGTATGTTCTCTGTTACATCTTGGAGTCATCCCATACCTTGCATGGCCCTTGTATTCAGGCAGCAAAGATCTGCAATAATCTGGCATTGGCTATAAGCATGATTGGGGTCTCAGAAGCTTTTGCTCTTGGTCAATCGCTAGGAATTACAGCGAACACCCTGACAAAAATATTCAATTCCTCATCCGCCCGGTGTTGGAGTAGGTTTGGCCATGATTTCCCTTGCTTAATTTTTAACTAGGGATGTTTAGAAACATTTTCTCTGCCGAGTTACAAAAAAAGGAAGGCATACAATAATCCAATGAAGTGTGACATATGTGGTACTCCAAAGAGCCTTCATCATTTTCTTGGATGATGAACGCATAGATCAACTGTAGTGGGGACCACGTAGATATTCATCCAGGTCCAGTTAGCCCTCACTCATTGGATTTTGGAATCCTTTCCAATAAAGAAAAGAAGCATGTGCGTGTGTGTGTGCTTATATACTTTCTTGTTTGCTAAGCCTATGTGGCGGTTTTGCAATCACTTAAGATATTTACATATGATGCCTATGTTTTATCAAAATGTGACAGTGACAGTTATAACCCTGTTCCTGGAGTAATGGATGGTGTGCCTTCTTCAAAGAATTATGATGGGGGTTTTTCATGCAAGCTTATGGTATACTACCTCAGTTGCAGTTTCTTCTAATCATTTTTTTTCTTTTGGGAAATTTATCGAAAATATCCAACAGATGAACTATTTAACATCTCACCCATTTCTTCTGAATTGTTATGTTAGTTATATTTTAGGAATATTTTGATGATTGGTTGAATTGTTAAATATTTGATACTTCGGGTGTGGTGTGATGAATTTCCCTTTTATTTCTTAATTAATTAAGTGATCTCATTCAATGACAAAGTCCTACCATGTTTACTCTGCATATTTGTTTCTCTAATAGATTTGGAGCTACCAGATGCAGTTGAGATGAGCATACTCTTCATTGCATTACTTTTAATCTTCAATTTGAAGCAGCTTGATGACATAATGACTTGTCTGGCTTGCATTCTTTATGCATTTTACAATCTTGTGTTTGATGTATATACAGGTTACCGAAATGTCTCTGTAATATATACCGTACGGACAAAATAAAAAATAAATGAGAGATGAAAAAATCCAGTGCACACACATGCGCAAGCATTGGGAGAGAGAGAGAGAGAGAGAGAGAGAGAGAGAGAGAGAGAAGAAAGAGAGAGAGAGTAGTTATATAGTTAGTGTGTGTAGTGTAGTGTAGTATTAGTTAGTAGTAAGTTAGGAGTAGTAGTAAGAAGAAGAAAGTAAAGTAGTAGTAGGTAGGTAGTAGGTACGTACGTAA